CAACCCAAATGATTCTATGATTCAGGAGAGTGTAAGTGTTCCCAGTGAGGGCAGGACTCATGCTTGTGCTTAACTCGCACTTCTCAGTTTGTGAGTTAGAGTGCATTTTCCAGCTCTGAAGAGTGAAATGTGTGTGTTGATCTCCAGTGTCTGTAACTCTTTGTTGCCTGATTTGTCCCTAAATACCTGATAACTTTTCTTCTGAAGGTCAGCCCAGAGTGACTGCTATGTACGTGTGCATAGGCATTAGAGTGGATAAGTTGGTCCTAGAGCTGAGATCCTCATGTGAGGACACAATAAAACACAGCTTTTTTTGTGCAAGGCAGTTTGACTGGGTAGCTCTCTTAATGTTTTTATAGGTCTTAATTGTGGCAGTAACCTCAAGTCATTCTTTATACAGTATGTTTACATCCACTGAGATACTTTTCTTACTGTCTTGTTTTGGACCACATTTAATCTTTGGATGGCTTTCTATTTTTTTTCTCCTAGAACCAGTAGAAGAGTCTCTGCTGGAAAAATATGGATTCCCTGAAGCTGGAACAGAGACCAGATGTTACACAAATCATGCACTGTCTTATGACCAGGCAAAACGGGTGCCTAGATGGGTGATTGAACATATTTCAAAACAGAAGACGCTGGGTATGTAGGTATTTATTACGTCTCTTTATGATGCCAAGAATGGACTTTGCTGTTCACCGAAGGTGGACCTAGGAGCAGGCAGGGAGAAAAATCCTATAGTGGTCTCTAGGAATGTGTTTTTCCACCCATTGACAATCTCATTGGAGGCAGCAGGCTTCTGGGTGGATGTCAGCTTCATGACAGTATTAAGACTGATGTTGCCAGTGCTGAAAAAGAGATCTGTCACTGCAGGTTGGCAGACCTCTTCCGTATTTTCTTGTTGGGCCTAGTCTGGTATTGAGTGTACAGTGGCCTGAGGCCTGCAAGATACACTTGGCCGAAGGGCTGAGTGTGAAAGGGAGAAATGAAGAACTAGTGCCACCTCCTGTGTGAGATTTCTGTTAATGAATTTATGGAACAGGGTGTATGCACCAGATCAATATAGCTGTGTCAGTGTAAGTACTCTTAAGTCATGTCACAGGAGGGAAGCTTAACTTACCTCTTCCAAACATGAATGGAGAGAAGATGAAATACTGAAAACTAAACTTTCCTTACGTGATTCCGACCCGCAGAGTTCAGTGTTATTGCTCAAGTGTGTAAAAATTGTTTTTGCTTCCTTAGCTAGTGTTGCTAGTTCTGTGGTCCAGTTCATGTCAGTTTAGGTACTGCCCCATATGTGTGAACTCTTGTGGAGTCAGTGCCTTTACTGGCCAGACTCTTTCATCTACAGATCTTAGAGATTTGCTCAGAATGGGAACTAAAGTTGAATATCCTTTTGTGAGATAAAAATGGAGGAAAGGGCATCAACAGTTGTAATTGTTCAAAGCTAGATAGGGCATTACCTACTCGCTGCAGCCATTATTGACTTGGCTGCAGTTCTGTTGTATTTTCTGACATGCATTATCTAATGCTTTCTCCCCTGTTCTTTATGCAAGACAGATGCTCAGTGATTTTTTGCTGTCCGTGGTGAATGAAATATGAGTGGTATACAGTCATTGTAAATTAAGTTTATAGCATTAGTTCAGTTTTTATAAGGTAAATGATTAGTAATGGAGGTAACTATAATTGTAAAATGTTTTATGAATGCAGTAGCCCTCTAAATATATCTTAATTACTGTCTTCAAATTACCTTTCAAAATTAAAAGCGTGATCCTGAAAATATTTACAACCGCCCCCTAAGTAGAATCATTGATTCCACTTCTTTCTGAGAAGAAAGCAGTAATTCCAGGCATACTTTCAAGTGGGCCTTAACAGCCAAACTGCTAAAATGTTTTCCAAACGATCAGATACAACTAACCTGCAGGTTGAAATTAAGCTTCTTGAGGCATTTAGCTCTGATTTATGTCTGATAGCTATTCTAACTGAGATTTGAGGCAGAACTGTGTTGTTTGGGGAAGGCTACAAAACCCTTCCATGTCCTGGAGTTTTGAAAGGACATGATATAAAAAAATGTATTTTATTGGTAAGTACATAAGTGTTTAAAAAACCTGGTGGAAAGAAATTAGCTTTACATGTAAATGAGATGTACAAAACTGGCTACAGAAGAAATCAGCCATTTTTATCAAAGCAGTGAACAGAGGATAAATGAGGATATATTTTTTCCATCTTTCAAGTTTGATTAGTAAATTACACTTTGTTTTAAATATTGAGATGAAATACGACTTTTTTACAAAAAAATTCTGTTGTTCTGCATACTGATAAACTTGTCAGTGTTGCTTCCAAAACATCAATCCCTTGTTAAAATATCATGTCATGTGCTTTACCAAAAAAGAGAAGTGCAGCTGCTTCCTTCTACCTGCACTGCATAAAGGTGCTGTGACATCCTCTCTGCCTGCTTTGACATCTTTTCCATGGACCTATGCACAGATGGTCAGCAAAGAGGAGGAAATTACTTACAGGCACTGCTTTGCAAGAGGTGCATTATCCATATGCATGCTCGTTTTCCACCCCTTTCCTTCTTCCTTGTGGTCCTTGCATATTCCTGGGTTCTTCGGAGAGCATGTACTGCACTTCGTTCTCAGTCTGGAGTGCAGGGAAGCGTAGGGTGAGGGTGTGCTCAGTGACAATACTGACAGGGTGAAAAAGCCAGAGTGCCTGCAGTTTGTGTGTGTGCACAGCCAGCAATAGGAGAAAGAATAGTTTCAACAACTAGCAGTGATCACTGCTGAAAATTGCCCCTCACATTGTATGACAACAGGAATGTTTTATGAAGTGCTGAGTTTGAGGAAAGTGTCTGGTGTGTACAGGCTCTGATTCATGCTTAAATGAAAAGAGACTGTATAATGCTCCTGTATATTGCATGTGTGAAATCATGCCTAAGATGACACCCTGAATTTTATGAAGAAAATAAGTCAGTATGCTGTAGATACTTTGAATTACATTGTCATTTTGGGGGAAAAAAGTGTGGGAACAGTGATGATGCTCTAAGCCAATTATTTTCCTCACTCTGCTGCTGCCTGTGTGGAGCTGTTGCACAGGCACAGCTGAGTCAGTCCTTGCACCTGCCTCCACTGCTTCTCTGGAGCACCTTCCTTAACTGTGGATGTTCCTGGCTTCCATGCAATTCTCTAAGAAATATGTTGTCTTACTGGAGGTTGTCAGTGCCAGAATAATTAATGCAAGTCTCTTCCGGCCATCATTTTTTCAAGGAAGCAGTTTTTGGAATGAAGTGGTCTCAGAGTTGCAGCCCACTCAGAGTAATTTGTTTTCGAAGGAGTTGACTGGTACTTCACACAGTGCAAGGACACAAACGTAGGTGTATGGCCGGTAAACCTGGGAAGAAGGCACAGGCTCCCCAGCAAAGAGAGCAGTGTAGAGTGGGCTGCTGTCTCTGCAGCAGTTAGGCTAGTTGCCTCCACAACCATCCCCCAAAAATATTTTGTCTGCCAGAAGACTTTAGGCCTAGTCATTTTTATGCACAATTTCCAAATTTCTGGAAAGACAGAAAGGAAATCTTGGAAAGGAACAGGAAAGCTCTACAATTATTTCTGTGCCCATGAAGATCAAAAGACTTTCTCTTGAATGGTTTTATTATTTTACGAAGTGTAACTTTATCAAGATACACTCATTCTACTTCCAGGCTAGATTTGGAAAAAGAAGAAATAGTTGTAGTGGATGAAACCTAAAAATAGAATTGCAGCTGGTGTAGATCTGTATATCTTGTCCTAAAATTGAATCTATATTGGTTTATATATTTAGCAATCTTGCCTTTAATATTGATCTGTGTTTGTCATAAGGCTAAAGTACTTTGCTTTTGTTTTTTCTCTATAAAACAGTAAGCCTGTTAGAAGTTTTACTGCATAGTGGGGAAGAATTTAGAACTGGAGCACAGATTTTTAAGCAGAATTTTTTTTTTTTATGGTTGAGGAGAAAAATATCCCATTTAGTGTAACGTGTTGAATCCTTAAGCTTGGGTCATTTGGCAAGATATGACAGAACCGGTTCATTTTGTCTTGTTACGATGGTTTAATAGTAACCTAACAACTTAGTGTGTTGTTCTTCAGGCAATGCGGACCGAAGGCACTGTAAATTCCGACCAGATCCTAACATCCCTCTGATGTTTAGTGCTGTCAATGAAGACTACCTTGGGAGCGGATGGTCACGAGGACACATGGCGCCAGCAGGAGATAACAAGTTTTCAACAGTATGGGGTTTTTTTTCTTTCTTTTTAATTTGTGTTTATCAGTTTGAAAGGGTCAAAAGACCCTTAGAAGTAATGTGTAGTGTTCCTTTTGCAGTTTTTTTTGAGATGGAACATGATCTCCTTATGGATACACAGACCTGGACTTGGAGTTACAAGGTCCGTTCATGACTGAGCACTGTAGGATGCTCTCGCAGTCTGCTTCAGGCGTCTAAATCAGGTGCATCCTCTGGTGACATACCTCTCTCCATTAAATCACACCTAGGTTAGCTTGTTAGGCAGAGTGGCTGTGAGTATGTCTTCTACAGTATAGTGTTAATTAAGCAAGTCTTCTCAACCTCTAGTATGTCACGTTTTCTACCTGTGAAATGATCTTTACCAAACATACCTAGACAGTGCCTTCTGAAGCTCAGTTAAAGGGAAACAGGGAACGATGACTTCATTCTGGCCCACAGGTGCTGAGATGTTTAAGGCTAGATTGAGCAAAGCAAAGATGCTGTTAAGTACTGTTCCATATTGGCAAGGGGATTGCCTGGATGATTTAAAAGGCTTTTTCCTTTCTGGCAATGTGTATGAGGTAAATTAGGACCTTCTTTTCCCATAGTTCTTTCAGTCTATAAAATGTCTTCACCTGCCATTTATTTGAGTTGTAAGAAAAGTGTGCCCTAATGCTTTGGCTAACTAACAAAGCAGCCTTGGATTTATTGGATCCTCTTGTGAAATGTGCCTAATGCAGCAATTTGTCAATTAAGAAGCAGTCTGAATTTGTGTTTCTGCCAGGCAGAATAGTATGCAGTGGGGTACAGTGACAGTGCAGTGGCATGTGGTGGGTGAAGAACCGGTTGTTTTATTTCTGTTGGAAGTGCCTCTGTGGTTATTTATTTGTGGTAACTGGGGAGGTTTTGTTGCTGAGCTACCTGTACAGAGATACCAGGCCTGGCTTGAAATGCAGTAGAGGTGATACAGGCTTCTCAAATGCAGGGTTATAAAAATTTAATTTCACCGTTTAACTAGTGCAGGTAGTGTTTGCTCATTATCCTAAGGAGATCTGTCAGCCCCTTCACTTTGAAGAAATAGCATGTGAAAAATACTGACGAGGGCAGGACCTATGAAGATTCTGGGTTAAGGTCTTGGAATTTTTTTCTCCTATATTTCCCTGCATGTGGGTAGTTTTTTAGTGCCAGGTCCTTCGCACCTGGAGATACGTGGACTTCAGTTCAGTGAGGTTTATGACGCTTCTTTTAAAAGATAAAATCAAGTAGATATGTAGATGTTTGACCATTATGGACTCATAAATCATTTTGCCGGCTCCATGTTATATATTTGTAATACAGTGATGAATGTTTTTAATAAAACCTTTTCTTGTAAGGAAAAGAAAAAGCTAGCCATTAGGCAGTCAAATAAATGAAAAGCATGGGAAAGCCTCCTTCCTATTCAAAAAGAAGAGCAGGTAGTTACTTCCGAAGATGTTACAAAACTGACACTGGGTGACATGGTAATTCCTGTGCCTCTAGAACTGGACGTTCTTGTGCTATGTTTCTGTCAAAAAAAAAAAAAAAATTAGACACTTATTGCAAGGTTTGCACCTTAGTTATGCACCTATTAATCCAAAATAATTTTGTAGATATTGTGACTTAGGTTTTATGTGACCTTTTTAACTTGATAATGTTAATACAAAACTAGAAATAGATTCTGACCCAAAAATGTCTAAAATATGTTTTCAGATCTAAATGTTTCAATTTAATTATATTATTTTCTTTCTCTATGCAGAGAGCTATGGCTGAAACGTTTTATCTGTCCAACATCGTGCCTCAGAATTATGAAAATAACGCTGGATTTTGGAATAGGTGAGAAATTATTTGTAAGTAATAGAAAAATACCAGGCAGTAGCATAAATCATCAGTGCTGTATTTATAAAGCTTCTTCACAATCAAGTGTTCTAGAGCACTTTACAGGCAGTCTGTTAACATTGTAGGAACTTTCTCTTGACATGATAGGCAGCTCAGTCCTCGCAGTGCAAGAACAGTGTAACAGCTACTTTAGTTCTTTATTCAGTCAGACTGTAGAGGATGTTTATTTAGAATAGGTAAAATTACTTCTTCTGGCTAATGTGTGTCAAGGTACCAGGCTTAACATCTCTGTCCTTAAGGAAAATTCAGTAGAAGCAAGGATTTAGGTCTTGCTTTAACATCTCTTCCTCAAAAAAGCACTTCCAGTGTGAGAGTATTCACATCTCTGTATGTGGACATTGGCTCGCTTTGAATTGGAGAACAGAGCGCTCCCCACTGGGTCGTGACTACTTCTGGTCTGCGGTGTTTCTTCAAGTGCTGGCTTCCAAGCAGCAGTCAGGCAGGTTCTCTGTCACTTGTGAGCGCTGACTGGCTCAGCTTTGAGGTGAAGTAAGTGGTTGATATATTCAAACTTTCTTTGTGTAGGAGTTTTATTCTTTCCTTCCTTTGAGCAGAGAAAAAGATGAATAGAAGTAGCATTCATCCAGTCCTTCTTGCATAGGACCTACAGAATGTTAAGACTCAGAAACAGGAAGGGAAAATGATGAATTTCGCAAGGTTTGCCCAAGGGAAGGTTAGCAAAATTATGCACAGTATTGTACTAAAAATCTGTCAAAAATGCACCATCATTCAACTACGCACTGCTTTCCACCTTTTACAAGAACGCATATAAAATCATATGAGGCATTCAGTAAGGTTCTACTGGGTTTTAGACAAATAAAATGCCCTAAAATTTTAGAAGATTTTTTTTTAATTTGTTTTAATTCCTGAAGTATTCGAGTATAGAATTTCCTTATACTAAAGCTAGGCATTTGTACCAGTTCAAGGTTGGAAACGCTCTTTATTTTCCTTGAGCAGGATCTCTGCCTAATCAGGAGATCATGGGGAGCATTTGAAAATTTCCACTGGCACTATGAGCCCCACAATTTAAGCAGCTATTATCACTTTCTCCCAACCCCACCACCCTATCCCCACAGTTTAAATACCTGATCAAGGTACTTGTACCACTTGTTTAGTGATAAATAGTTTTAAGAACACCATGTTTCATGTGTGTGGTATCCCTTCCTGGATTCAGTACTCCCTTTCTCTTTTCTTAATTGCTTTCTTTTTGAATTGTCTTCTGAGGTGCGGGTAGACAATACAGCTTAGTCAATTTAACCATCTCTTTTTTTCAAGTAATATTTGCCCTCCAGCCATGTGTTTTGCTGCTTTCCCAGTTCAGCTCTGGTAGTAGCCTGGCTGCAGTCAATTCCATTTGCTAACCCAGTTAAACAGATTGGCATTTTGTTTTGCTTGGTTATGTTTCCGCCAGATTAGAAAATTGGATCCACTGGTGAGATGAATGCCAGAGCCAACACAGAAGATAGAGTAGGACTGTTCAGCTGGGGCAGACAAGGGGAGCAGTAGGAAAGGGGAGAGCAAGACTGCATCTTTCAGCAAGCTATTAGATAGTAAGCTATTAGATTGGTTCAGTGGTGTGGTCTAACTGCACCTTAGTATTTATTCCTCATTCTCTTCCCACCAACATGCATGCTGCTTTCTTTCCTGATGTTTAACTCTAGTTTTCTGTCTTGTTCTGAGTGGGATTTCATGGTCACTGTAATCTGATCTCTGTCCCTGCTGCCGCCGAAAGCAGTTTGCTCCCTAGCTGTGTTTATTCCCATTCTTTCCTTGTGCCAGGTGGTGTTTGTATTACTGTCCCCTGAGACAGCCTGAGGAGCTGAGCTGCTTGGAAGCAAAGCTGACAACAGCAGGAAAAAAATCAGTTTGTGGTCAATGCTTTGGCTTGTCACATGGCAGCTCACTATTACCAGAGAAGAAAGGGCTCATTCCTAAAAAAAAAGTGTGAGCTATCTAACTCACTAACCCAGCACGAAAAAAAGCCTGGTTTCGTTCAGGGTGACTGACAGATGAAGAGTGCTAAAGGTGGCCCAAGTGAGAGGTGTGAAGAAGAGGGATGAGACAGAAAAGGGGGTGAAACCTTCACCTTTCAGAGACAGCCAGTTTAGCTGAATTCATCCTGTTCTGGTCTGTTTGTCCATTTGGGTAGCTATCTAACTCACTAACCCAGCACGAAAAAAAGCCTGGTTTCGTTCAGGGTGACTGACAGATGAAGAGTGCTAAAGGTGGCCCAAGTGAGAGGTGTGAAGAAGAGGGATGAGACAGAAAAGGGGGTGAAACCTTCACCTTTCAGAGACAGCCAGTTTAGCTGAATTCATCCTGTTCTGGTCTGTTTGTCCATTTGGGTGAAGGAGTGAAGTGCCACTCTGTCTCCAGTAAAGGCCCAATAAATGCTCACTGCTTGTGATTTCCGTAACACTGGGGGTGTTAGATCAAAGACAGGCTATCATTTTTCTTTTATGTAAAATAGACATGATCCAGAAACCTTCTTATTTGGGGGAATATTTTATGCTCTAAATAGAATCAATTAGTTTAAAAAGCAAAAATAATACTAGTATTTCCTGGAGTTACTACTTTATTTTTAAGTAGTTCCATAGAAAAAAAACCAATAAGTGGACTGTGGGAATGACACACAGAACCATTTCCTAAGTACTTCAAGCTGCAGTAAGAGTTGTCTGTTGCAGGACATGGATTTCTTGGGAGGGGACATACATATCCAATAATATGGTAGAACCTTTCGAAGCAAGAATGCCACAACCTGCTGTTTAAAACAAGTATCTTACTAATCCCAAGTGACCATCAGCAGTATCTGTCTAGTGTCCAGTGTGGGAGGAAGTAGAGAATTCAGGTTTTCAGGACAGGTGGTAAGGCTACAGAAACTATTTTCCAATGTGTGTGCTAACACATCCCTGTCTGTCAAGAAGTGAACCCGGGACAAGTGGAAAGCATGACTTGGGCCTGCATTTTACTTTCTTTGGCTTGTGAGTCAGTCATGTGAGTTTGGAAAACTGCTCCCAAACCGTCAGTGGTTCATCATGCCCTTCACAGTATGTTTCAGAGGTTAGTATGTTAAATTTTCCCAGCTGACTTTATCCTATCTGACAAATATGTTCCAGAATGGAAATGTATTGTCGGGAATTGACCGAGAGATTTGAGGATGTTTGGGTAGTTTCTGGGCCTCTGACCTTGCCTCAAACAAATGATGATGGAAAGAAGAGCGTTACTTATCAGGTATGTATGTATGTATGTTGCTGGGTTTTCAGTGCAGTCATAAAACTTTAATTAGTTAGTTTGCTTGTTTATTTATTTAAATTTGATACTGTAGCTTGATAAAACAAAGTTAAACATCCTAGTGCATACAAAATATATTAAATGTCCAGTACTTGTTGGGACAAGTTCAGTAGAGATACTACATCTTGCCTACAGAGCTAACTGGTTACAGTCTGCAGTAAAGAAAGGCTTCATTCAGGTTCAGTAGGTTTTAGTGAATGCATTATAACCACTGGCCCATGGTACTGGTACCCCCTAGCTTCTTTTGGTCCCCCATTTTTACTACCTGCTTAAAATACTCTGAAGATTTAGGATTGATCATACACAGTCTCGAGAAACCTTCACTGATAGATAGGAAAGTCTCTCAAGTTAAAAGGTGAATTTATTGTTGCTTAGCCTGACTTACTCTTTGTAAACATGCATTTAGACATCTGTAGGATCTGAGCATAGTAAGGTATTTGAGGGAGAGAGTATTACCTTCTGCCCCTGCTGTAATGAGATATTATTGCTGGTTTTAGTTGCTAGATGAAAGCTAGCATAATGCAAATGATAAATGCTGTATTTTATGCCTCTTGAAAAGACACTTTTCTGTGAAAATAAGTACTCAGCTCAACTGCAGCTTCAGCTTGTGAGTGATTCAGCTGTCCAACTAGTTCTCTGAGGAGCAATGAATGCACTCGCAATAAACAAACCCCTGTTTCAGAGGGATATGAGAGACACAAAAGACAGAGAGGTTCAGCTTTCAACACTGGCTTGTTTAGTGGTAAGATTTAGGCACTATTTCTCCATTACAAATACACAGCTGATTTCCATTTGATTGAATTTGAAGCTCAGTCATGATAGAATGTAATTTTCCTGTTTGCTTCTACCTTTTTATGTCTTGAAAAACTGTCCCTCGTGTCCCCACCTGCACATCTCTATAACCTTGACTGTGATGAAATCACAACTTTGGCTTGGGGTTTGGTGGTGGGTTTTTTTTTTTTTCCAGACAGTCGTATGTTATGCACATGAAAAAGCAGTAATAATGATTTGTGGTTTTCATGTTCAGTTGGCAGTTCCGACCATCTCTGTGAGGAAGGTGACAACTGTCCTCGTTTTCAGGCGGATAAATGAGTCATGGTTAGGGGATGTGACCAATGCCACATAAGTGAGTGGCAAAACTGGCTTTAGGCCAACAGTGGTCCCTTGCCACCCAGAGGGAAGGTGCTGACTTTGCTATTATGCATTATACTTTCCAGCCCTTTCCCTTGTCTGCCAGTGCTGGTGACTGTCAGATCCTTCCACCAAATGCTTAATTACCCAGGGCAATAGAAAACCATCCGTACTGGACTTTATTTGCTTGCAGGGCTTGTGTCATAGAATCATAGAATGGT